TGAATAAGTTGTGGCATACTGCAACAAATAAGCAGTCGTCAACAAACATCGGCGGCACTACCAGGATGTGTCGGGTTTCAGGCTTGTCACCTGGCTCCTTTTTAAAAGCCGCATGAGCCCAATGATGGTGTCGTGTCAAAGGTCGATGTGACTGACCTTTTAAAACTAAAGCCATTGACCCCCTCACTTCCTGCTACCTTGCAGTTCGCACTTGGTTGTGCAAAGGCTAGAGGTGCACCCTCAAAATAAAAAAAAACGCCGATTGACGCTGGGACCGTCTCTCATACCAAACTTCCAAGGAACTTCATGATCATGGCTGAAGCCAGTCGCAGTAGAGTAAAGTAAGTATGATGAAATAGAGTTCAATTTCGTTCTAAAGATACTATTTATGAGTTGCGCTAAGTGTTTCCTTGAGCGTCGGAGAGCTTTACTGTATTGGAGTTTTTGACATAGTATTCAAACAGTGTTGTGGTTGGCTCTACAACATTTGCAACTTTAGACCATTAAACTTCTCCATTTTCTTTTCGACTCCACTTTCAACTTTCCTTTCTTCTCCTATTCTTCATCCAAATGGGCAGCCAAAATACAGTAACCAAAACTGGTGCTCGAATATGCGTGGTTAATGGTTGTTCAAACTAAAACTGAAAACTACAACATTTGGTAAGCAGTTCAAAAATGTGTGGAAAAATCAGAGATTAAGAGGCGGTGATCAAATGGTCATCTCCCACCACCACCACCGCCCAAATTTATCCATTCCGTGTTATAAGGCAGCTCTTGTATTAATCGCTTCCTTCCTGAAAATTGTATCTTTATCAATTTAATAAAAGGCACCAGAAAAAGGGAACACAGATCTTTGTGCAATTTCGTGGAATCAGAAACACTAAATCATATGGTCTGCTGTCTGAGAAACGTCTCAATTCAATCAAGCACGAGATCTCAAAAACTGTAATTGTAAAGCCTATAAAATAGTATCTGGCGGTTCATCCGATCACATACTTTGAAAAAGTGCATTTGATACACATCCACCGCATACCGTTCACCGACTGCTCTTGTCCACTCATCTCAGACAAGGAGCAAGCAGGTAGCACGGGATTGCCGTTGTCGGAACCCACGTTAACTTGGTGAGCGGATTACACACTCCAAGGGGAATTTTCCAAAATTAATTCCTCGACTTTGGATTGCACTGGAACGAGAGTCACGGGACGGTAATCAGTGGGGTCGCTACAAAAGCCGTTTTTGTAAATGTTCAAATAAAGCCTTGCCTTGCGGTTCAACATTTGATAGAATAAAGCGGTTATTGGTTCAGACATTTCATTCACCAAACAGATCGTATAGTGAATTTCGTTGTGTATAGTGCAAATGAAGCGTCGTGAACCGAGAAGCTAGGAAGCACCTGGCAGCTGTTTCGATCTGGTTGGGTCTCATCAGTGGTGCGAATCCCCCAACCCATTTGTTCAGTACACGCTTCATCTGCTCTTCACACGGGGAAATTCATCATATGCTCAATCCAGGTCCTCCATCACTCTCATGTACCGGTTTGTTGGCGTATGTTGACTTATCCACGGGCCGCGTTAGGCTCTTGGATGGGGACATCGGAATCACCGTGATCGATGTTTAGAGACACTGAATGGTATGGTTGAGTGTCGTAAAAAATGGCCCTCGTACATCTACTCATTATCCCTGCAACCTTGGTCAAACTGGATTCTCTATTTTCACTCTGACACGGATTTAAACATTCACCGCTTCCCTTTTACTCCATACAAATGGGTGGTCGTGAAATAGCAACGATAGTGCATGATTAATTGCTGTAAGAACTGAATTGGACCAAATAGTCCGCGTCTAGTAATGAATTCTTTCACAAACCCAACGTTTTTGTTCTGATATTTTCGACGAGAAACGTGACGATGATNCGATGATTAGTGAAGATGTTGCCATCAGCGAGGAGGCCTCGTACCTTAATGCAGCAAAAACTTGATCCTATTGGATTTACAACATGTCAGCCCTCATCGCAGCTTAGTTTCTATTTTCCATAATTAACTTCCCGGATGAGTTAGCATATACAATTGTACAATAGCCTGGGGTTAGAGCGGTGAATCGCTCTCACAGTGGCAACTCTTGGTACGCCAGTTTGTCGTCGCGCACCAGCCGGTTACAATGATCTCCCATCAGTCGGTAATTACCCCTAGGAAATGATATGCGACCAGCGGTAGTCATCACACCGGGATAATAGACCTCTCGTAGACAACGGTTTCCGCGTACGATTTCGGTTAGGTGATTTATGAATGTCAGATTTGGTCATAACTTTGAGATGAGCGAGGCGCGATGCCCGCAACAAGCACGCAAAGGTGGGTTCTGCTATATCGTGTCAACGGAAGATGAACAACCGTCTGATCAGGTGTCCGAGTGGTTAGTATGCTCGTGTTCGGCCTCTGAGGTCCCGGGTTCGGCCCTCATTTGGGTCCATAGATTCGCACTGCGCTGTTGAGACCCAACCAGGTTGAAACAGTTGTATAGTGCTTCCTAGCTTTTCAGTTCATGCTTCAGCTTCTCTATCTGTACACGACGAACTCTCCTTTTGAAGTTAGTCATTAATGTGAGTAGAGTTGTGAGATATGAGTAAAGTTCCAACGGAATATCAGCGAATTTTGTTCGTCGCTATGAGAAGCCTGTTGAATGAAATGCACTAAGTTCTGTAATTTTGCACACACCATGGATGTGCGAGTGTTGATTGCAGAACTTCTCTTAATTGGACAACATATGTATTTAAATAGCGATACGGTATGGTCAGTGCGACCCAAGGAGAACCGCAATGGTGATGAATTCCACCGTCATTACTATATCCATTATCCAGGCGGATTGCATGCTTCCCAGCCCGATATCTTTCTTCATGTAGTTTTACAATGCATGCAAGTTATTTAGCTGTTTCAATGTTCGACTAAAAGGTAAACGAATATTGGTTTGTTGAGGTTGGGACAGCTGAAATGACACATTAATAGAACATGGGTAAATCTTAGTTCAGGAATATGTAGAACTGTTTGCTCATGAGTTTCACCGGCGGACTTCATGGATGATGTAATACGATAGACTGCACAACTGTCCATCTGTATGCACAAATCCTTTCAGTTCTTCTGCTTGCCACTTCCTTGATGTTTCGGTTGTCGATTCGGACAAATTGGTGAAGATGACTATCAAAGTTGTGTTGCTTACGCCTTCTTCCTTATTGAATTAAATCTGACTGTCTTTCAGACTTCACCTTCATGCCAGCGTTTTTTGTGTGCTTGACTAACAGATTTATTTCGGCGAACGACCTTCTCCCGGTTTAAACCAGCGCTTACTTTCCTCATTGTACGAACACTCCCATTTGAGATCGGTTACCAATTTTTTGGTGGTCCAAGTGCAACGACGTTCATTCTTCTCCAAGTGTTGTTACGTTTTTCGCTTGGTTACGTGAATCTTAGGGTGTGTCCGGACAACGGTGTGATTGACAGCCTTTTTTCTTTCCTTTCTCGGCACCACGGAACAATCAACAGTCTTCAACCGGCGATATTCATCCTGATGCTATCAGTATTCAGTCGATCTGGTGCATTCTGCAAACATTATTGGAGTACCACGTACCTGGAGGTGTGCGTGTTACAGATAACTAGTCTGCCAAACTGATGAGACGTTCATCATGGGAGCATTTCTAACCAAGACTATATTTTTCGAGGATATATGGTTGCCTGGTTTTAGGTGGCCGATGCATACATTCTGTGTGGTCATGATAAGGAGCGTGCCGCGTTTTGGGACACCATTCACCATTGGCTCTCGTGGAACTCGTCTTTTGCCGTCTCCTCAGATGCCAGTGCCAGCGGATAGACTGCCATGACTGATATATTCACATCAGTTTCAGTTTTTACAACCATTAACCATGCACTTTCGTGCGCCGGTTTTGGTTGCTGTCTTTTGGCCGCCCATTTGGATAAAGGAGCAAAATGAAGATTGGAATGTCGAAGCAAATTCAAGCGGAAGATGGGGAATTCAAATAGAATGGTGTTAGGACAATAACGAGTGGATGCATGAGCGCCACTATTTGCGGCACCCAGCCATATCACCTATTGTCTCTAATGATCGGATACGATCATCCCCAGGTCCCCAGCCAGGGAGCCTAACGGGGCCTACGTGACCCAGTCTCCTGGTTAGGGTTTTCATACCCTCATGCCAGGTCTTAGTTTGACCACCCTTTATCTTTTTCCAATCGCTACCAGCCTTGGCAAACATCGTTCGCCGCAGCAACCTATCTGGCGACACGTAACACATGTCCCAACCAGCGTAATCTATGGAGGTCGGTCACTTGCTCTAGTGGACGACCGCGGCTGCCTAAAGCTCTACGCTTAACCTCAGCATTGCTAGTCCGGTTACCCCACTAGACACGTGCAATGCTACGTAGACAGCGGTGTTCGAACACCGTCAATCTAGTTTATCCTGTTCCCTTCACATGCTAAGCATGAAAAACGGCCACAACGATCCTTGGAGAAATGGGATATTGTGAGATTAGAGCACGCTAGCCCATTTGCTGGTAACGAACACGATTCAGTGAAAACCTGAGTGGTTCACTGTGTTAGGATTAGTAGCTGTGATCTACAACAGGCAAACTTTGGAGAAATACGCGATATCTTACAGGGCGTGACTGATGCACAAGGGCAAAAAACTGTAATAACCAACCGCCCCACGCCCACGTTTTCGGTCGAGTTGTGTTGTACCCTATGTTAGATGCGGAGCACATTACCCGTGAGTCCTCTTTTCGACTCAGTTCGTGATGCTCACTGCTTTGCTATTCAAAGCTTTTGATGGTTCTACGGTTTACTTTTTATTAGCCGTTTCCCCAGTTTTGAAGTAAACTGGCACTGAACTGAGTTTGAAATTCCGGCTGTTCACCGTCCTAATCGATTCTTTTTTCATTTGAGGTGAATACGCCAGAATGAGAGCTAGTCAGAGTAGTATCTTTGTCGAAGCCGTATTTTCCTTTGTCACCCACCTAATCGAGGTGAACACTTGATCCTTGAAAATTTTCATTTGTTTGAGCGGGATGAAAATGTCACCTTTTCCGGAGAAACAACCCCCTCGAATTCGTCTGATTGAAACGGGGTATGGGGCAAACCAGCTGGTTTACCGTGAAACGTGCTATTTTTCCCATTAAAGTAATCTTTTTTCTTCAATACTGTCTGTTTTAATCGATCGCCTTGCGGAGCACTGGGTGGTTCATAAGCGGAGAGTACGTGATTGTCACCGGTTTTAACATGGATGGCGTTTGCCATATTCAGCTAGAGTAATATCGCACCAAGTCCGCATGTTTTTTTGTTTGCACGCAAAATTCGGAGTTCCATGGCACGTTTCGATTTATCTATTCACTTTTTGCTTTGGTGTCAAGTGTTTCGTCTTATGCGGGTCCCCCAATCCGATAGTATTGTAGCGAGAAGTACTTCCATCACAATATCACGGCCAGATTATCCGTATCTACCAACTCTCTGAAATGTCACGCAACCCTCAGGATCGTAGATTGTTTTCCTTTTGGGAAGGCACACCGACGTGGACGTACCGATGTTTTCGCACAAATGAACTCCTGTTAAGGCAGCCAATGGGGCATCGCTTCACATTCTTTTGGCATGTTTCATATAAGAACGCCAACCACGGTAGTCTGAAGTGACGTGGCAAATTGCGTCAGCGCCTCACAGGAATCTGACTGAAGTACTGTTTTCCGTTTGAGCATTCCCGTTTTCATCGTCGTTGTCGTCATATCTCGAATCTGAGAATATCAAACCACATTTGATGTGGCTTATTGTTAGTCATGCACCAACGGAAGGGTGTTTTTGCATTTCCGCTAAACGGGTCACGGGTTCAGTGAATTGATAAGGTCGTTTTGTGGATTCGATTGCAAATGAATTTCATAAATTCATGGCTTTATCCGATTAAAATTTCGTCTTCTCAGTGTTCTCTAATCTGGCCGAGATCCTAATAAATCTCCTTGTCCCCCATCAGACTACTTGCATTTTCTGATTTGTTTGAGCGAAAAATGAGTACTACCGGATGGTCTTGAATGTATGGGACGCCGAATATGTCTGTACAGGTTTACCGCAGAATAGTCTCTGATTTGGCTTTTCCACTTGAAATTGCATTTACAGGTGATCTGGATCAGACTCGTGCAGCAGTTCAATTGATATTGACCGTAATTGCTGCCGATCCACAGTCAGCCAGCTGTCCAAATCTATCTTATCACGATATTCGCGGCCCAGTAGCCAGTGTATATCCTACAGGCTCTCCCTATGCCACTCCAGTCCTACCCTGTCCGGCCACACCGAGCTGGATGACTGCTGGTGGTTCTCCTGTCGATCCGGCTTCTGCTAGTGCTGCCGCCGCTATGATGGCGGCCATGTTCTCGCCAGGTACTATGCCCACTGTGGGCAGTGCTCCCGGGTCCCGAAGCTCCACATTCGGATTTTTCTCCACCAACTATTCCAGTTCACCCGATTTTACTTCACTCGCGGTTTTGGCTTCGAATCAACACGCACTTGGACTCACACCAATGCTGCAACCAATTGCCTTGCCCAGTCCCGGCACTGCCACCGCTGCAGGGGATTTAGTCGGTGCGCCGGGCACTCCGTACGGTTCTAGTCCCACTCAACCGACTGGATTTGCCAGTGCAGGTGCTCTGGATCCGGGTTCGGTAATGAATGCACGCCAGACGGCACTTCTCGCTTCAATCGGGTCCAAGCAACAGCTCATGCCGCAGGATGTGTCTCAACTAGCAGATTCATCGTCCCCCTCTGCTTTTCTCCCGCAGGGTGCAATAATGCCACGTACGTTTTTTCTCTCTCGCACCTGTGCTGTGTTTATCTGATTGTCTTTGCCATCTCTTTTTCGTTGGTATCATCTGAACGGGCCCGGTTTTGTTTTCTAAACACATCGCACGGGCGAGGTAAGGACAAAACCTAGCGGATCCCTCAATATGCGCATGATCTTATCGGTTTTCTAATCGTCCGTCCATCCACCTTTCTCTTTATTCGGTCTACAGGTTTTACTTGTTGCTTACTTATTTCTATATGTGGTGGTGCATTCACTAGGATTCCTTATCTGACTGTTTGTTTTTATGCTGGACACTCGCATCGAATCGGACACGCGAGACGTGCGGAGTGTGAGTGTGACCGAGTGGCGATAGTGAGAACCTAGTCAACGATGAGCATGATGATGGATAGGAATAGAATCTTGGTGAAGTAATGAGTGATCGGCATACCCGGTGCGCTGATATCCTAGTGTCTATGTTCTTCCAAGCGGTAAGATATATCGGATTTGGAGTGCATAAATGGATGAAGATC